TCACGGGTGAGCCAGTGCGGAATCTCAGGGTAATCCCGAGGAATGTGGGATCCGCAAATATCGACATCTCGAACAGATTTGGAAATCTCGATGAGATAGCAAGTATCTCGGAGGGGAGGGAAACTGAAAGAAGCAGGGGAGCGAATAAGGAGAATGAGAATCCTGAGAATATACAAAGTATATTGAGGAGTGATGCGCAAGGAATGAATAAGGAAATTGGGGGTGGTGGAAGTGATGTAGGGCGGGAGTTTAATAGTGGGCCAATGGAGAAAAGTGTGGGTAAGCAAAAGCCCACGGGCACAACAAAACCAAATAATAAGAAGAAGCAAAAGACAAGCCGACCCATGAGGAGATTGATCTTTGGCCCAACAAGGGGAGAGCTCGAGCTATCGGAGTCTGGAAAACGATTAAGGGTGGAGAGAGTGTATGAAGGTCGTCCAGGAGGAGTGTTCCGAAATGAATCGGAGGGAAGATTGGAGATTGGGGAAACAATGCAGACTCAGAAGGAGGTGGAGGGAAGTTTGTCTTTTGTCCCGGAGACAGGGGGAATGCGAGAAGAAACAGATGTGTTTTTGACTCCGACGAAGGGAGACGATGACTGTGACAGAGGCTAGCAGGTCGCCCCGGTTGTTCTTGGTCGTTTGGTGAAAGGATATAAGATGAATTGTCTATTGTGGAATTATCGGGGGGCTAATAAACCTAATTTCCGGAGATCGATACGGTATATCTTGAAGAAATACAGAACAGATGTGCTTGTCGTCTTTGAAACACATGCGGGTGGAGATAGAGCGATGCGGATCTGCCACAGGTTAGGATTTGACCATTCGTTTCGAGTGGATGCTATGGGACAGAGCGGGGGTTTGTGGATGCTCTGGCTTTCAGAGGTTGGCGACGTGAATATCGTCACATCGTCTGACCAGTTCATTTACGCCACGGTGGGGATTGGGGTGGAGATAATTCACCTGATTGTTGTCTATTCAGCTCCGTCAGTGAGTAGGAGGAGTGGGCTGTGGAATCAGCTGCAAAACATCATTCAGGGAATCAGCGAACCGTTGGTGGTGGGGGTGACTTTAATACAATTTTGAGAATGGATGAGAAAACAGGAGGGAACGGGAGCCTCCAGGGACTCTTTAGCGTTTGGAGACTGGATTAATGAGCTTTCGTTCATAGACATGGCCTTCCGAGGAAATATGTTTACCTGGAAGAGAGGCAGGATGGAGCGAAACTATGTAGCTAAGTGGCTTGATAGGATTTTGTGTTCTCCACATGCGCGGTTGAGGTGGCAGGAGGTGTCGGTCACTCACTTGTCTTTCCTGGCGTCAGATCATGCCCCTCTATATTTACAGCTTGAGCCAGTGGTGAGAGGAGACCCGAGGAGGAGACCTTTCCGCTTCGAAGCTGCGTGGTTGAAGCACCCGGAGTTCAAAGAGATGTTATCCACATCCTGGAATGGTGGTCTCACGACGCCAGAAGCTTTGAGCTTGCTAAGAGGAACTTTAAGACGATAGAAAAAAGAAGTGTTTGGAGTGATACAACAACGCAAAGACAAGTTGGTGAAAGAGATTAAGGAGATCCAAGAATTACTAGAGATAAGTCAGACTGATGATTTGCTGAATAAGGAAGCATCTCTGCTGAGAGACTTTGAATCGGTGCTGGAACAAGAAGAGAGACTTTGGTTTCAGAAGTCCCGTGAAAAATTGGTGGCGCTAGGGGATAGAAACACGAAGTATTTCCATACTCTAACAGTGGTCAAAAGAAGGAGAAATAGGATCGAGATGTTGAAAAGGGATGATGGGAGATGGATCTCGGAGCCACAAGAACTGGAGAGATTGGCCCTAGACTATTATACACGACTATACTCGATGGATGATGTTGAGCAAGTTGACACATTACCACAGGGAGGATTTACAGAACTGACTAGAGAAAAAGTCAATAACTTAAACAAGACGTTCACAGCATCAGAAGTAGAGACAGCCATAAGGAGTATGGGCAAGTTTAAAGCACCGGGGCCTGATAGGTATCAACCGGTGTTTTATCAGAATTATTGGGATGTCGTGGGGGCGTTGGTAGTCCGTTTCGTACTGGAGTTCTTCTTAATTGGATGCCTTCCGAATGGAACTAATGATGCTCTGGTGGTGTTGATAGTGAAGGTCTTAAAGCCAGAAAGCATTACTCAGTTTCGACATATCAGCCTTTGTAATGTGCTCTTCAAAGTGATTACGAAGTCGCTGGTGATTCGATTGAAGAAGGTGATACCTAAACTTGTGGGTCCTGCACAGTCAAGTTTCATCCCGGGGAGGCTTAGTTCGGATAATATAGTGATTGTTCAGGAGGTTGTTCATTCAATGCGTAGGAAGAAAGAGAGGAAGGGTTGGATGCTCCTGAAACTAGACCTTGAGAAAGCATATGACTGAATTCGGTGGGACTTTCTAGAGGATACGTTGCGAGCAACTGGACTCCCGGAAGCCTGGATAGGATGGATACTGACTTGTGTGGGGAGACCCTCAATGAGCTTATTATGGAATGGTGAAAAGACTGAACCTTTCCAGCCTATTCGGGGTCTTAGGCAGGGAGATCTTTTGTCTCCGTATTTATTTGTCATGTGTCTAGAACGGCTTTGTCATCTGATTGAGTTCTCAGTGGCGCAGAAGGAATGGAAACCAATTACTGTCTCTCGGGGTGGACCAAAGCTTTCTCACATTTTCTTTGCAGATGACTTAATCTTATTTGCAGAAGCATTTGTCTCGCAAATTTGGGTCATACGGAGTATTCTGGAAAGGTTCTGTACAGCTTCAGGGCAGAAGTTTAGTTTGGAGAAGTCGAAGATATTCTTCTCCAACAATGTCATGAGAGTGGTATCAAAGCTACCCATGAGCTTGGAAAATACATGGGTATGCCAATACTACAGAGGAGAATTAACAAGGATACGTTTGGAGATGTTGTGGAGAAAGTCTCGTCACGGCTTGCAGGATGGAAGAGCCGGTTTTTGAGCTTAGCTGGGAGATTGACTCTCATAAAATCAGTGTTATCTTCGATCCTTGTGCACACAATGAGCACAATCTTTCTGCCGAAGTCAACACTGCCGAAGGTAGACAAAATCTCAAGAGCCTTCCTATGGGGAAGTACAGACGGTGTGAGAAAGCCGCACCTGCTAGCTTGGAAACGAGTCTGTGTACCTAAACGAGAAGGAGGCTTGGGGATTCGTACAGCAGTGGGGATGAACAAAGCCCTTATTGCAAATTTGGTGTGGTGACTTATGCAGGATCATTCATCCTTATGGGCTCATGTGTTATGTTAAAAATACAAAGTAGTGGAGAGACAAGAGAAGATCTGGACTGTGGTATAGGGGAGTGCTTCAAGTACTTGGCGGAGTATACTTACAGGGATCAGAGATGTGGTACTGTTAGGGATGACTTGGATATTGGGGGATGGTCGTCGAGTTTACTCCTGGAAAGATAGATGGTTGTTGAATGTCCCGTTACTGGAAATAGCAGAGGAAGAAGCGCCAGAGCAGCTAATGAACTTACGGGTCCGGGATCTTTGGAGAAATGGGACGGGATGGCTTATACATCAGATAGAGAACTACTTGAATACTGATACACAGCTACGCTTGAGGGCAGTAGTGCTAGATGATATAACAGGAGCCAAAGATCGAAGATCATGGGGTGAGAACCAGAACGGGAACTTCACAGTGAAGTCATTTTATACCTTGTTGACAAAGAACCACTCTCCAACACAGAATATGGAGACCTTCTATAACAGAATTTGGCAAGTAATAGTACCGGAGAGAGTATGGGTGTTTCTATTACTCATGGTGCATCAAGTTCTCATGATAAACGTTGAGCGCCAACGCCGTCATCTGAGTGATACGGGAGTATGCCAAGTTTGCAGAGGAGGAGAGGAAACTATACTACATGTGCTTCGTGACTGTCCTGCAATGGCAGGAATATGGTAGCGCATAGTCCCTTCGAAAAAACAGCAATGCTTTTTTGCCACGACATTGTTGGAATGGATTCACAGGAACCTCGGAGACTTAGAAGTGTCAAGAAGTAGTAACTGGGCTACGGTGTTTGCAATGGGTGTATGGTGGGGATGGAAATGGCGCTGCGAAAATATCTTTGGCTCAACAAGGAAGTGACGTGATAGACTACGCTTTCTAAAGGATATGGCTAACGAGGTGTCTTCAGTTCATGCAGAGATAGAGAGAACTCGAATAATGAGCAAAGGATACAGATTGGGATATCATGGAAGCCACCATCCAGTGGATGGGTTAAGCTAAATACTGACGGGGCAGTTCGTGGAAATACGGGCTTCGCAACAGCTGGGGGAGTGCTACGAGATGAAAGAGGGGATTGGTGTGGTGGCTTCGCACTGAACATAGGTATCTGTTATGTACCTCTAGCTGAACTTTGGGGAGTATATTACGGGTTATATATTGCTTGGGAAAACCGTATCAATCGCTTAGAGATTGAGGTAGGCTCGGAAATGGTTGCTGGTTTTTTGACGACAGAGATAAGTGATGGACATCCACTGTCTTTCCTAGTACATTTGTGCTATGGCTTCATCTCAAGGGATTGGGTAGTCCGCATCAAACACATCTATAGAAAGGCAAATTGTCTAGCAGATAGTTTAGCAAACTATGCATTTTCTTTATCTTTTGGGTTTTCTTAGAAACACCACCGGCTAGCTAGTGTGGCTCATGTTGTTTTAGTTGATGTTGTTGGAGAAACAAGAGTACGCTCTGTCTCTTGGATGTAACTCGTTTTTGTTTTGAATAATACTTCGAGAGACCTTGGTCTCACGACTTCGACCAAAAAAAAGAAAAGATATGGGTAAGTATGGCATTAGTTACCAAATGAGAAAAAATATTTCTTGCTTTACGATTTAATGACCGTTTGACCGAAGATCTTCTGGGCCCCACACAAAAATTATGACCGTTATATTGTCCTTACAGAAGTAAAAAAGGAAAAAGGGTAAAAGCGTCAACACAACAAAATCTTCAGGAATCTAATTTCTCCTTCTCTTTCAATCTGACCGTTACGAACTTTAAACTAAACGAAGAACCAAAAAACCGTAAAGCTCCTTCACAATTAACAAAGCATCCAAAAAAAAAACAAATTCTGAGGAAGAAGACACAGTGCGAAAACAAAAAATCCAAAACCTTGAAATACAGATTCGATTGTCAGTAATGGAAGATACGATTTCAAACCCTAGCATGGAGCCTCTGTTATTTTCTGTTGATCCAATCTCTCTCCTACTCTCTCAGAACTCTGATAACAACAGTCTCTGCAATTTCGAGAGAGGACCCAGATATGGCGAATACGCGAGGCTACGAGAATCAAAGCTCCGATTGAAACGAGAATACGAGAAGATTCTCAAGGAAGAAGAAGAGAGGTTCTTCGGCGGAGATCAGGCGAGGAAAAAGCCGACCGCGACACAAACCAGATTCGGTTTCAGAGGAGAAGACGAAATTAGGGTTTCGCCGGAGAAGAACAACAAACAGACGAGATTTGGGTTTAACTATAATCCTCCGGCGGCGAATCCTAATCCTCGGAGAACGTCTTTGGCTCGATCGGTTCCTGATTTCTCCGCCATGATTCGTAAGGAAAATCGCCGGCCGGCTAACTCAAACTTGCTTCCCCGGAGAACAGAACTCACTCCGCCGCCGACTAAGTCCAAAAACGCCTCCGTTTTCACCGGATCGGCTACTTCCATCAGAGGAAGCATATCGGCGAGTGCAGGAGAGAAGAAGAGCAAAGGGATGATGAGTATGGCGCGTAAGAGCTACGCCAACGTCGAAGATCTAAAGAAAATCTCCACGGCCGCTGCTTCAGCCATTAACGGCGGCGGAAGGAAATCAATCGGAGGCGGAGGAAGAAAATCAATCGGCGGAGGTGGTGGTGGTCGGACTATTCTAGGTTATCGACCAGTTTACTGATTCTTCGATTATCTTTGTCCCAATCTAACATTTTGATTCTTTTTTTTTTCTACGATTTGATTTGTTTTTAGAATTTGATTGATAAAAAGATTGGTTTTTTTTTCTTCTTCTGATCTTGGTTTTGTGATTGATAGATTTGTGTGACTAAAAACTTCATAAAACTTGCTTTAGTTACATCATCACAAAGGTTCATAAGATTCTAACAAAGCCTTGCTCATATGATTCATATTGTTGTTAAGAAAGTGAATGACACATGATTCATATCATCACAAAGGTTCTACCAAAGCATTGCTCATATGATTCATATTGTTGTTAAGAAAGTGCTAAAACAGATCCATTGCTAACTCTACGACCAAACACCGAAGTATCTCATAAGCAATCTCTGATCCAACACCAAACAAATGACTCTCAAGATCCATCATCCATGTCTCCATCTCAATATCCATAACTTCATCCATACCAATACGAGACAATCTCGCCCACTTTGGAACATCCTCAAGAACACCACGAATCAATCCATCAGCTTCAGCACTAAACGGCTTTAGTAATCCGCAAGAAACGTTTCTTTCATCCAAGTGTTCGATCATGGCGTCGACCAAGAACCCTCCGGTTATCCCAGGGAGATTAACAAGATTATCAGACCGAGCTGCGTAAATCATGAGTTCGTCGAAGAGTTCTGGTCCGACGAGGTAGCTCTGGTCTTGTCTTGCAGTAGTACCAACTAATAGCTCGGTGTGGATTATGACTTCTCTTGCGTAGGTGAATCTCTGCAGCGTTAGTATGAGACCTGTGTTGCTTAAACATCTCAAGACGTTAGAGACATGCCTGATCAGACCAGCGATCGCTTGATAGTTACCGCCACTTGTTGAGTTCTTGAACGAAGTCGCGTACTCTTCAAGAACGTCCCAATCGGGTTCTATAGGCTCTAGAGGCAGCCTCGTCTGTCCTGGAACTACAATTCATAACAGCAGTTTCAGGTTTCAGATTCAAGAATACTGATGTTTTAAAGACAGTATGGTTGGTCTTATGTACCTGAGATATTGTCGAAGCTATTTGAAAAGCAGCTTTCGTTAGAGAAAGAAGCATCGAGTACAGAACCAGGGCTCGTGTAATCACTGTTTGTGTTTCCAATGGGACTCCACATCTCTGTTTTGCGTTTCCTCTGCAAGAAATCAAGAAGCATGAATGAGGAAATGAATACTAAAATGTGAAGTTCTTTGAGGATTATTAACAAACATACCCGAGAAGCTGTTTCTGCGTAAGACATGTCGATATCTCGAATATAAGGCTGAGCCATAGCTAAAGAAGATAGCAACTCATGAAGGACCAAAGAGGCTGGTTTGTTAGGCAAAGCACTTCCTCTTATGGCTTCGTCTTCTTCTTGAGAAGCGAGTTCTTTCAACTTTTGCTGAATCAAACCTACAGTACCTGCATCAAGCGGTTGTCTCTTCTGAAATGGTGTTCTTGCGTTTGGAAAGCGTTGAACTCCTTTCCTCTCCTTGGTTTCCCTACAGCATTGGCTATAGTTTCTATGAGGTGAACCAAGTTTCAATGGAGTAAAAGCGGTTTCGTTACTAATACCGCAAGAGCCTTCACCATCTAATCTTCTTGACACTGGACTACTCATGAAGCTGCTTCCTCTTCCGTGACCACTTACACAAGCTAGCCTTCTCTTCCTTGCTGGATTGCTTAACCCTGATCTATTACAAGAATCCTCAACTCTAAAGTGAGACTTTCTCTGCAGATTCAACTCGGAGTTTTCAAATTTAACTGGTGGCTTCAAGTGATGATTCCTGCTAGTTGAACCTCTGTTCATCGCTATAAAGTCCTTCTCTTTACAGTTGATCGCATTCGCAGGTGAAGAACAAAACCCACTCTTGCTCTGTAAGGTGTAAGATCTAGCCTCTGGAGGAAACTTTTCTCTCTGCGACACATGGTTCTGAAAACCGGATCTGTTTCTGACACCAGGTGGTGCCATTTCGTCGTTCCCATGCTTCAAAGCGCGATGTAGAGCCTTCTTCTCAAGCTGATTTGTACCTTTAGCAGAAACAGACACAGAAGGTTCTTGATTTCTCCAAAACACGTTTCTTTTACTCCGTTCAAACGGAGTTGATTCAGAAACACACGTCATGTTCTTTGCAATCTCTTCTTCAGCTACAGAACTAGAACCATGATGAACATCAACAAAGCTACCACAGGCTTTACAAGAAGCAACACTACTGTGATAACCTAAAGAATCAGGTGAATCAACAACAGGCTCTTTCCCTGCGTTTTCGCGCCTTCTAGTACCTGAAGAAGCCGGGTAAGCAATAGCGAATTTCGCGTTTCTCTTCCCCGGTTCAAGAATCCTAGCAGCAGCATTGATCAGCCTAGAGTTACGTCTCTGAAGCCTAGGGCTTCTCACAGGAGAAGCTAGCTTCTGATGCTGGTGATGATGGTTATGGCTATTGTACTGATGATGTTTCCTCACTCGTGTCAACACGTTCTTGATCTGCAATGCGTCTGATCCAAACTTCTTCACCATAACACGCCTATCACTGACTCCTGCTGTTCTCTGCATCTTCTGTGGCCTTGACTTATCAAAACCATTATCTTCCTCTTCTTCTTCTTCTTCTTCCCCATCAAACACATTGTCCTGTATCTGCGAAAACGACGACGGTTTCTTCTTCTTCCCTTTGTCTCTGAGATTAGACGGCATTGATTCAAGACCCATTAGACGTGCTACCAAACTAGGAGATCTCATTTCATGCTTTTTGTGCTCCACGACTTCACCTCGATTAAGGAAACTTCCTCTGTTCTCATCATCAATCTGATCAATCAATTCAACATCCACGAGTACATAAAGCCAACAAATTTTAGCTCTTTGCTACTCAAATCAAACTAAAGATTTCAACTTTAACAAAAAAAGGGGGTTAAATAATCACCAGATTAAGCTTAGATTTTAGCATTTTGTCATTCCCTCCAAACCTCTTTGAAGCTTGTTTCCCTGAGAAATGCAAGTAAGAAACTATTTCAGACAAGTGTAGAGAGAGAAAGAGAGAGGGAAAGACAGAGAGAGAGAGAGACTAACCAGGAAGAAGTGATTTGCGAGAAAAGAGCTTCCTTTTAGCGAAGCGTCGGTTCCAATCGAAGAGCTGAAAGAAAACGCCGACACAACCACCGAGACGATTTGGTCGTTTCTCAGTGATGGCCGCACACGGCGCCGTTTTGTCCACCGTCTCTTGTAACTCTCCCGTCATCAGATAAACTACACAAGAAACCCTAACAGCCCACAATTTGCAGAGAGAGAGAGAGATCTCCCAGCAAAGAGGAAAAAATGTCTCTTTTAGAGACGCATTGCCTCAAATTTAATAACTTTGTAGTCTCTAAAGAAGAACAATCAATCTCCTCGACATATATTGAAAAGAAAGAATCTTTGCAAGGAATCTGAAATCAAGCTAAAGTTAGAAAAAGACCCAGAGAAACAAAAATGCTTTCTTTTGAATTCTGATTCTGAAAAAAGTCCCTCAGCTTTTGGTAATTTGGAGCTCGTGAAGAAGAAAAGCAGAGAGGATGAGTGTACATTAGCGAAATCGATAGCTTAGTTACGAGAATAGGGAAAGAAAGGGGACAGTTGGAAATGAGCAAAACGACAATGGTACAGTGGAAGAAGAAGCTATGATTCACAAAAAGGAAAAAAGAATCATTAGAGCAACAAAAGAAAGAAACTGAGCTTAAAGAAGAAGATAAACTCAATGGGTAATATTCGCAAATGGGAGTTAAAAAGTGAATGGAGACAAAAGCAAAACGATGAATAGTGACGAAGTGATTGAAAGAGAGATGAGAGACTAAAAAATCTTTTGAGTGTTTCTCGTAAGCTTTTTTTTTAACTGTGATTCTCTTCTGCTGTCACTGGCGGTGAAAGGGGCTCGAGAGAGATTGTTACAGCTTTTCTTGTAGTTGCAGAAGCAGAGAAGAGAGAGAGAGAGCATGCGCACAAAAGGTTAAGTAGCTGTTAGAAAGTAGACTAGAGAAGATAAAGAAGAGAAAATAGAAACAAAAAATGAGAAGATTAATTGTTGTGTTTTGGTATTTTATTAGAGTTTGATGATCGAATCAGGTTTTTGTTTTTGGGATATTAGAAGCGTAAATTGTGGTTGTGGGAATCGAAGAACATGACAATGAGGTTAAGGGTTCGAGGGTTCTGTTTCTCGTTTTTGACGAATCCTGTTTCATCCCTAGTCCATTTTGTCAGTTCCAACTGGCATCGGTTTCTGTTCCAAATAGAAATCAAGTTTTTTTCAAAACCAATATTGAAAATAGGAAAGAAAAATAACATTTAAAATCTTGATATATAAATATGTAAATTCATTGGATTGTAATTTTTTTTGTGGGTATATCCGATCTTTGTCTTGCCTTTTTGTTGCTGAAGAGCTTGTTGTTATTAAGGTAATGTTCCCTCGTCCAAACCGATTGCATATTTCTTCAGTATTTCTTCAGAAAACTTATCTTTCGTTACCATCCGATGAACTAAGCTAATGGTTTAAGCGCATGTGTTGATATTGTTCTATTTTTTGTTTGATTTTAAAATAATATTAACAAAGACTAATTTCAGGTCAGGAGAAGAATTAGGGCCTAAGCCCAAGCCTTCCTTTTTGATAAAAAAAAAAAAAAACATATTTTTATTTCTGATGATAACAATCTGATCCTCAATTATCACGATTTCTATTTAGTTTTTATTTGTTTTATATTTAGTTAGAAAGTCTTTGTGATTTTGTTGTTTATTATATCTCTGATTTTTGGTTTTTGTTTATAGGAATGTTATAAACCTACCAATTTTATTTATAGAGTGATTTTTATCTTTGTCGACTTTGTGTATCTCAAAGTTTTTTTTCGGACAAAAATGTATGTTAAAGTATAATATCAATGATATTAATAAATGTAATGTTGACAAAAAAGTATATAATATAAATGAATTATATAGATGATAAAAAAAAAAGATGTAGTTCATTGGATTGTTCTTTGGCCTAGCCTTAGTTTGGGTTTTTGATATTCTAATAACAATGTCTATCTATTCACTAATAAAATAATTTTGAATAAAGTTAGAATAAACAAAAAGGTAAAAACCTTCCAGACACTATCAGAATTTAACAAAATCATTTAATTTTTTTCAAAAAGTTAAAAGAACAGAAAATATTAAAAGGGTGAAATTTTAGAATATTGTTCATCTAGTTTTTGTTCTAAACTGTTGAAAAAATTCAGAAATACATATTTTCAGAAACTGTCCCAAAAAGTTACAAAACTTTTAGAAAGAGTAAATTTCCAGAACATTATCGTAAGTCTTTAAACAAAAGTTAACAAGTTTCTAGTATAAGTGGCAGAAAATATACTTTGTTAATGCAACTCTTTGCATAGGCCATTCTTTTCGTATTGTATATCAAATTGATTCGAATTCAGATCAAACTACTTGAATCAGACCAATAAGACAACGTTAATAATCTGTTGGTGAAATTGATTCTCCTTAAGCATAAAACTGCTAAACATTTCCCATTTAACCATAAGGATATGAGTCATTTATCCGAGGAGATGATTTATCTATGGACTACACCTCTTCTAGAAATTAGTCTGAAACCTTTACACAAGTCTGGAATGTACCCTAAAGTATCCCAAAAAAAAATCTGCATTTTCGGCTAGTGTATCGTTCAATAGTATTCACTAACTTTTTAGAAAAAACAATATCCTTCGTTATCACAAGTTTGTGCTGCACTAATCCAAGACTCAGAGCTTCATTATTTGTACTATTTGGTTTCCAGGAAATATATAAATCGGTGAGTGCAAAAATATATATAGGAGTGATAAAAAGTTTGAAATTATAAGATTGTAATAAGACAGAAAAAGCAGAGTTGCGTCTTTGTCCATGTCTGACGATTCTGAGATATGTCACGGACAATAACCCATACACGCTAGGAATCTATAGCACACCCCCACTTCTATTCAAAATACAGTACCAATTATTTTCTTATAGTGACATATATACACATTCCATTCAATATAAAATATATTTTGTTTAGCTATAAACTGAAAATTGTTAGTATCATAACTGTTTGAAATTTTGAACTCCAAACGATTCTAGAGGAAACAAAAAAAGAAGCGGTTTCAAATGTTGGCATAATGGAAAAAATAGTGAAACCAATCTTGCTATTTGCAAAAAGTAACATTTTGACCAACATGAAAAAACAAAAATTCCTGGTGCTTCTCTGGAACTCTGTTTGATTGACTGAATACATCATGGTGAAAGTTACAGAGTTATGGTGATTTCATTTTTTTCTTTTTTTACACAACTCTATATGATGTTTTATTATCGTACATATGACATATATGTTACTATTTAGTGTGTTCTTCTTATATTCGTTTGATCTGTTTTGACGGATCTACCTTTTTCCATTTCATACATATGCAAGAAATGTTGGGCTTTAGTATTATGAACTTAAACCTTCCAAGCCCATGTGCTTTCCATCTTGACGAATTCTCAGTTTATTTTTTTTAATGTTAAATCGCTTTACCATAATCTCAAACTTTTCAAAGTTGTACTAATAACTTATCATCTCATGCGCCTATTTAATCATTTTTCGTTTTTGCGCCTAACTTGGATACACCTAAAACTGGTAAAATGTCCATATATAGAATAGTAAACAAGTATCTAAGTAATATTTCAGCTAGTTTGAAAAAGCTTTCATTTCTCCAGTTTTATATTTAAGTTTTGTTTTTTTTTTTACCTCAAAGAACAATAGAATATCTAGTCTAGTTTGATTTTCGAAGAACAAGAGTTTGATGCATTTACATTTTTCCCATGCAAAAGAGATATTGGGCTTTGGTTTTACGGCCGTGCTTTGACGAATTGGTTTCTTATTTTTTTTTCTTGATAAATCTTCAAACCAAACGAAATTCTTATTTCGATGTGAACTTGTTTATTCGAGTTTAAGGGATTAGCTTAAGTTTAAGTTTAAGTGAAAATATGATTTAGACTATAACTTCTCCGCAACCCTTAGAGATAGGAAAGCGGAAATCATTATCAGATAGATATACTCGAGTCGATTGATTTTAGAGTGAATCAATTATAATTTTTTCTAGTCGGCTATCATTTTTTTTTAAACTCTGATATACTATATTATATATTTGTAAGTCCATGTGTAGATTGACTATTCTCCCTTATATATTAATCTAAACTTTTATCTCCGATGTAGATATTCTTCACGCTTCTCTCTTACAAGTTCAATATGAACAATAGACATTTTTACCGAATGTCATGACAAGCTTAGATTGATATATAAATAGAAGTTTAAGATGGATGGATCAAATAGCTTAAACGATTAATATATCAAAAACAAGACTGGACCACATGCCTTTTGCCAGTACGTGCCATAGAAACAATGAAACAACCTAACCTAACATTTTTAAGCTATTCAAAAGTCTGTGAATTTGAATGATTAAAGTTTATTTGTTGGTGTTGTGAGTATTTGTGATTATTTCTGGCGTAGTCTTGCACGTGGTTTTGGACTAAATATCTCTGGTTGAATACGTGTGCATGCATGAACGTACGTACGTGTGTTAATGAGAATTAATTAACTCAAGTAGCCTATCTCTATAATGGGATATAACCGCTTATGTATGTTAGTGTGTGTTACGAAAACTAACATGTCGGTTACGGATTAGATCAAATGTTGTTTCTGACGTATGTAATTAAATGCACCACTAAGAAATTAATTTAGTCCCCAAGTAACAGAAATTCATAACAAATGTTTCATAAATGAATTTTATTGAAAGGCACACAAAATAAATAAATAAAACAAGTAATAACAAATATAGGTTATCTCTTTTTTTTTTTAAAAAAAAAAAGGAAGAGAAAACAAGTTTCTTGAAAAGAAAAGGAAAAAAAGGAGCAAAATTAGTGACAACCAGAAGAGAATAGGATTAAAGTGTTTTTAGTGCGCCCTACAACCATGTGGCAGTTGACATCTTGCGGATTATAATTGCCATCCATACTTCCTTGTCTTAAAAGTGATCTAATAACAGTTTCACAATGATAACTACACCTTTTATATAATAGGACAATTGCAAATTTATGATCAGGTTTTTCTTTATAGAAAAATATAAAAGGATTTTGAAGTTTGAACTACTTAATATCTGATCAACATCAATTTAAAATTTTAAAACTAAATTTATATTTGAGAAACTGCAAATTTATGTAACGTTTACGGTCCCTCAATAAACAAAATTTACTGTTTCAAAACATGAGTTCTACAATTCATATAAACTTGTTAGAAACTTTTACCAATCATGTTAACGATACAATTACTGCCACTAGTGGTCAAGTACAGGGGTGGGTTTGGGTTGGTTTTGTTGTATTTCTAGTTTGAGTTTCGGTGGGAAAAGATTTAAATCTGCACTACAAGAAAATACTCGATTTGCGTTGGAATTTTGCAATGGAGATTATTCCTCGCAAATCTGCGATGGATTTGTGACAGATTTGCTACATATTTTTTATTTTGTCGCAAATCCATCGCAAATTTGCAAAAATATTGTTTATCGTAAAGTCGTCGCAATTTGCGACGATTTTGCTACGTATTTACAGCAGGTAAAAAGCATGTCGTAAGTACGTCGCGAATTGCGACTAATTTGCGATGCAGCATATTTGCAATCGCATTGCAAGAGATTTGCGAGTATTACTGTATTAGGTTATGAAAAAAAAATTTGAATTTATCCAAAATATCCAAAAACACTTTTTAAAACGAATTTAAATTCATTGAATATGATATACTTTTTTCAAGTTTTAGATATGGTATCACTAAAACATCATCTATTTTGATTATATATATTTCTAATTAACTTTGTTTTAAAAAGTGTTTTCGATGCATTCGACAAATTAAATTTTGCGACGGATTTATTACGGATCCATCGCAAGTCCGTCGCAAATCAAAATTTTGCTAGGGGTCGCAAAAAAATATTTGTAAAAG